CGTGCCACCTCTTGGGTGGCTTAATCTTTATCAATCAATCAATCACCCGACCATCCTGTAGCAGGTTTGGGAAGAGGTATTAATTGTAATTAATGCCTTAAGCCATGTGCATGGCGATGCCATGCCATGAGCCTGCCATGAGATAACAGAGCCATGTGCAGGCGATGAGTCACAATAACGAGGCTGAAGCATGTTGACCAGACCACACACTAGAAGGTGAAGGGACGACGATGTTTCGGTCCGTCCTGGACCATTCTCAAGTCGATTTACTTTCTAGTGTGTGGTCTGGTCAACAGAGCCATCTCATTATCTACACATAAGCTAATGAGAATATGGAGCAAGTATATTACTGACATAATGTACTTGATACATACTCAAACTAAGTTTTGCCTTGAAATTGGGCTGTGTGGTAGGCTAAACAGGATTTACTTTGATATCAAAGATTTTGTGAAATTTTGCAAATATTTCTAAGTGTTATTTCATTTAAGTATACAGTGATCTATATATACTTCAATAGTTTGCTAGTAGCTGCAAGTTTGGTTTATTGTTCTGCACAAACACAAGTTATTGTTTATGAATTGCGTCAAACAATAAATGATTTTAATTGGAAAAAAAGAAAGAAAAAAAGATGTTTGAGTCATGTATAGCCTTGTGGTTTTGGGGTATGAGATCTACCTGTATCAACTCTTATCTTCCGCATGTTGGGAACGTCTGACACCATGTGAGTCTGAGAGCCACAAGATAGCATTGTTATCACCTTGTGAGCAGATAACATAGACAAGTTGTGTTCAATCTATTTATCTGTTATATATATACATTGCTGTAGTTTATTCCGCCCATTGGTGGCATGATACGTCATGTTAGCTGACCACACAACTGCTAATAATATCTATCACCATTTTTTGTGATAATAATTTGGTATTCCTTGTCTTACATAGTAGCATAACTTGTTTTTAAGTATATATATATATATATATATATATATATATATATATATATATATATATATTTATATGTATATATATATATATATATATATATATATATATATATATATATATATATATATATATATTATATATATAAATATAAACTTTGTAAAGTACAAGCTTTGATATATGCTATACAGTGGAACCTCCAAAATTTGGACCTCATAAAATTAAAAAAATATATATATAATGTTTAAGATAATAAGATAATGTTTATTCAGATAAAAGTACATAGATTCAAAATAAGTTACAAACATAATGTTGGATTTTTAGATAGAGCTAGTACATACTATGTAGGCTTATAGTAGGCATCCTTCAGTCTAAGACTATGAAGTTGCAGCCTGGGAAGGTAGATATAGAGGAGAAGCTGTTACCCATGCAGCAGGTCCCCCCCTCTCCACGTTGTTGAAATTATCAAATAGAAAGGCAAATGCCAATACACATGGTTCCAGCAACGTCGTCATACATACTATGCCTAAAGCCACTAATACGCATAGCATTTCGGGCAAGGTGTGGGGAAAACACTTGGGCTAAGACTTAAGACTAATTGAGGTCATACCATAAATTAAATTGAAAAAGGGAAAAAACCCAGCGTTGAATGTAATGAAACGCCATTTTGTGAGTGAGCCCAGGAGGCTCCCTGGATCTATAGGGAGCTCCTTGGAGCTACAGGGAGCTACAAGCAGCTCCCTGGAGCTACAGGGAGCTCCCTGGATCTACAGGGAGCTACAAGGAGCTCCCTGGATCTACAGGGAGCTACAAGGAACTCCCTGGATCTACAGGGAGCTACAAGGAGCTCCCTGGATCTACAGGGAGCTACAAGGAGCTCCCTGGAGCTACAGGGAGCTACAAGGAGCTCCCTGGATCTACAGGGAGCTACAAGGATCTCCCTGGATCTACAGGGAGCTACAAGGAGCTCCCTGGAGCTACAGGGAGCTACAAGGAGCTCCCTGGAGCTACAGGGAGCTAAAAGCAGCTCCCTGGAGCTACAGGGAGCTACAAGCAGCTCCCTGGAGCTACAGGGAGCTAAAAGCAGCTCCCTGGAGCTACAACAAACCACACATGGTAAGAAAATTGCAACCGAAAACCGAACATGGAGGCAGAACGCCCCCAACTCTCAAGGAAACACGTAAACCTCACACCACAGCTGCAGCGCCGCAAGCAGATCAACCCAAGGCGCATCCCCAGCCACGAAGTCCGAGGCGCGCAGATAACGGCGAAGAGTCACAACCGGACACAACAAATGATGCACCCCAGGCCTGACCAACCAAGCATCACTGACCCAAGGGCCGCCTAAGAAAAGCCACCGTCTCATTCTTCACCAGAAAAGGAGGACACGACTGCAGCCGAACAAACTGACCACCAGGACCGAAGGAGCAGAAACCCCTTCGCTGGAGGAGAGCATGAAGCTCACCAACCTGACCCCCAGAGGCCAGTGCCAACAGAAAAGAGCCTTGGAAAAACGATCCTGAACCGTAAGGGCACCACAAACCGAGGAGGAGAGAGAGAGAAAAGAGTACCCAAGGACCAGAACGTCTCGGGCGGCGCATGAGCTGGCCAGAGGTGAAACAAAGCACAAGAAAGCTTACGGAACGGGGCGGAAATTATATCCACTCCAGACGTAAGCTGGAGCGGCTCCACCAGCGCCGCACAATACGATGCGATAGTATTCGGCATCAAATGACGGTCCTGAAAAAGCCAAGAAAGAAAGGACTAGACAACCCCATCAGAAATAGAAGACAACCTACGGAGAGACAGAAAACAGCAAAGAGAACACACCCCGCCTCCCTCCCCTCTCCCCGACTTTTCACCGCATGATGCTGGACTGATCTCTTGTTACTCAAACATTCTTTCTTACTGTCATTTGATATAACATAATTAGCAAGTTGAAACCTTGTAATCCAACAACAACAACAAAAGTACATCAGACAAGATGAACTTCTTAATTTAACACTTACGTCCGGGCATGACGCAATGCTGCGTCATCCACTAAAATAATTGCCAAAAATCAGGTTTTTATCCGATTTTTTGGGGACTGTTTAGCTATAGACAGGAGGGCCTATCTATTAGATAAAGTTAATCATGCTAAGGTGTGGAAGCGGCTTGCAGAGTAATATGGCATTGACACTACTTTTTTATTTTATTTGTTTATTTATTTAGTTTGTTTATTTATATATACAAGAGTTCCTACATTCTCGTACATCCGCCAGCACGCGTAGCGTTTTGGGCAAGTCCTCAATCCTAATTTTTTCCCGGAGTTCGACCCGCCAAATCGTTTAACAACCAGGTACCCATTTTACTGTTGGGCAAACAGAGGCTACAGTTAAAGATTGATGCCCAGTATACCCTTCCTGGGCAGGATACGAACCCAGGACAAAGCGCTCGCGAAATGACAGATGAGTATCTTACCACCATACCATGGGGACTCCACGGGGACTCTTGTACTGTTCACTGCTACTATTGTATTCAAATTTATTGACAGTAATTCTTAAATACAATAAGGGGCCTCGTAGCCTGGTGGATAGCGCGCAGGACTCGTAATTCTGTGGCGCGGGTTCGATTCCCGCACGAGGCAGAAACAAATGGGCAAAGTTTCTTTCACCCTGAATGCCCCTGTTACCTAGCAGTAAATAGGTACCTGGGTGTTAGTCAGCTGTCACGGGCTGCTTCCTGGGGGTGGAGGCCTGGTCGAGGACCGGGCCGCGGGGACACTAAAGCCCCGAAATCATCTCAAGATAACCTCAAGATAATATTCAATTCAATTATAGTTTGTTGTGAATTTAAATTTGTTAATACTGTACAATACTTCATATACTGTACTGTAGAGTAATGTGCCTATTTTGTTGTCATTGGTAATTAAGACAATCCTACAAGTACAGCAATATTTTGTTAGTACATTTATATGCAAACAAAATCATTGTAATATATTATTTAGGTATCTAAATGCAGAGAAATACTATACAGTATGTATTCTATAATATACTATCAGAAAGCTTCAAAAAATTCATATATATATAAAAAATGCTAAATACTGTATTAAGAAATTTTGAGTATTTACGAATCAGAATTGGGTCCGGAAGGATATGGTCCATTTTTGGAGAATCCACTGTACAGTGTTCTTCAGTGCAGACGAGGAGTCACAATAACGTGGCTGAAAAATGTTAACCAAACCACACACTAAGTCTTCAGTTTCTAGTGTGTGGTTTGGTCAACAATGCTCTTCAGTTCTGTGTTTCATTAGAAGACAGACAGTAGGCACCGTTGGTTAACAACGACTAACGTTACTACTAACTAACGTTGGGAGTATGTAACGTCTCCACCTTTGTAGCCAATGGTGCCCACTAGCCACTTCCTTGAAAATTGTAGCTCCTTGAATGCATCCATTTTACATATACTGCATATATATATATATATATATATATATATATATATATATATATATATATATATACATATATATATATATATATATATATATATATATATATATATATATATATATATATATAACTAATATATATGGGTTCGAGTCACTTCTGGGGTGTGAGTTTTCAGTTGCATATTGTCCTGGGGACCATTCAGGCTTGTTCGCATATATATATATATATATATATATATATATATATATATATATATATATATATATATATATATATATATATATATATATATATAGAATATAATGTAAACAAGTTAAATAAGTATTTTCTTATGGTATGAACTGTCCATCTTTAGTGTTGGATGTCAAGCTTGGGCAATTTCTGTGCCTTGTAATGCATCGGTTATTCATAGTTGTTCATTGCTTCATTTTTCAGACAAGGATTACCTTTTTTTTCCTGTTATACATTACTACTCTTGCTGTGTGTATACTGTTCCTTGTTTGCTTATTATAGTAGATAATATCTACTTGTAGATACATGCTGTTATAATATCTAGACATTATATCATTTAATATATCGTATTGATACTAGAACAAATTTAATAATTTGCAATTTTTTTTGTTATAAACAGAACGAGGAGACTTCAAACCTACTGACCTGGAAAGGTAGATATCTTTGATCAAATTATCAACTGTTTGAACAAATATATTTTTATGAAAAGTTTGCATGCAAATATTTGAGTAATGCAAGTGTATTACATCAAGCAAATTGGTCAACTGAACCATAAATGAATACTTAAACAATACTGACTTTTTTCTCCTTTGCAGTGAATACCACTGAACTTTATCATGTTATACATCAATTGTAATAACATTGTTCTCATTTACAGTGAATACCACTGAACTTTATCATGATATACATCAATTGTAATCACATTGTTCTCATTTACAGTGAATACCACTGAACTTTATCATGATATACATCAATTGTAATCACATTGTTCTCATTTACAGTGAATACCACTCAACTTTATCATGTTATTCATCAATTGTAATCACATTGTTCTCATTTACAGTGAATACCACTGAACTTTATCATGATATACATCAATTATAATCACATTTTTATCATTTGTAGTGAATACCACTGAACTTTATCTTGTTATACATCAATTGTAATCACATTGTTCTCATTCTTTTTGCAGTGACAAGAGTGACATTGAGAGCCAGAAAGGGAACAATGGTAGGCATAAATATTCTGCCACTGGGTCAAATGCTGGTAGGAGAGGAGGCAAGACTGCAGCAGTAGCTGGTGCTCTCGCCTCCATCCCTCCTGATGCCCTTTATACATCAGCCTCCAAGCATACCAGTGTGTCCACTATATCCTCTAAACCTGACCATGAGTATGAGAACTTGAAGGTGAGACCAGAGTATGCCATGAGCTGGAGACGACATTTGGAAGCCAGTGATGAGTCTGAGAAATTATATGAGAAATGGAAACAGATTCGCTTTTGCCAAGACCATGCAATAACATAGTACTCATATCCATGCCATTTCAATTTAAGGATTGTGATCCACTTTTTAAATCAGCTTTATTCAGGAGCCCATATCAGTTTGGTTAGCATTTCAAACAAATATTTAATAATGGCATATTAATTTAAAGAAAATGTTTCCATGGTCATATAGCTTCTTTGCCTGATCTAGCTTTGTCCAAACTCTTCAGCTGTCAGTATCAGTGGCTTCATATCCCGAGGCATCATCTTTGGTGGTCGAGGATGGCACGGGCAGCAGCTAACATCACCAGGTCACCTCCAGGTGGCCCACTGTACATACATCAGTACCTGAACACCACTGCACTGCCTTAGATGTTTTGCTCTTCCTCTTCCTGTCGTTTAAAATTATCTACGGGCTCACCATAGCCCGTGCTACTTGGAACTTTTTGTTCCAGGTAGCGAATCTTTAATAACAACATGTCGTTTAAAGTTTTTCATAAGGCATCATCGTTAATAGTGTGTATATGAATGCCATAACAAATTTAGTGCTTTTCTCTCAAATATTAACATAGTTTTTAAAGCGTTACGTATATGACAAAGAATGCTGGGAAGATGGGATACCACAGGGGGGGGGGGGGTAGCTTTCATCTTGTAGCTACACTTAGGTAGTTACTATAAGGTAATTACTGTGAAATTTTAAGTAATGTGTTCTATAAGGCATTTAGTGTTATATTTGAAAATTAAAATAATATATATATGGTTACCTGTTGTCGAAGACAGGAAGCCTATACTTAGGCCCATTGAAGATCCCTTTTGCCAACTACTAACCTTCCCCAGGATGTAACCTACGACAAATGTCTAACTCCTGGGTGAACAGAGGCATCAGGTGAAAAGAAACAGACCTGTGTATATATATATATATATATATATATATATATATATATATATATATATATATATATATATATATATATATATATATATATATATATATATATATATATATATATATATATATTATATTATATATATATTATATTATATATATATATATATATATATATATATATATATATATATATATATATATATATATATATATATATATATATATATATATATATATATATATATATATATATATATATATATATATATATATATATATACTGGCAGCAGGTTTTCTTTCAAACATGTTTCATTGAATATGACCGCATATTCTGTATTTATTATTTTCTGGTTTAGGGCTTCTATCCCTCTAACTATTTTCTTAGCATCAGGCCTCTATTCCTCCTGATGCCCTTTATACATCAGCCTCCAAGCATACCAGTGTGTCCACTATATCCTCTAAACCTGACCATGAGTATGAGAACTTGAAGGTGAGACCAGAGTATGCCATGAGCTGGAGACGACATTTGGAAGCCAGTGATGAGTCTGAGAAATTATATGAGAAATGGAAACAGATTCGCTTTTGCCAAGACCATGCAATAACATAATACTCATAACCATGCCATTTCAATTTAAGGATTGTGATCCACTTTTTAAATCAGCTTTATTCAGGAGACCATATCAGTTTGGTTAGCATTTCAAACAAATATTTAATAATGGCATATTAATTAAAGAAAATGTTTCCATGGTCATATAGCTTCTTTGCCTGATCTAGCTTTGTCCAAACTCTTCAGCTGTCAGTATCAGTGGCTTCATATCCCGAGGCATCATCTTTGGTGGTCGAGGATGGCACGGGCAGCAGCTACCATCACCAGGTCACCTCCAGGTGGCCATATATATACAGTATATATATATATATATATATATATATATATATATATATATATATATATATATATATATATATATATATATATATATATATGTCGTACCTAGTAGCCAGAACGCACTTCTCAGCCTACTATGCAAGGCCCAATTTGCCTAATAAGCCAAGTTTTCATGAATTAATTGTTTTTCGACGACCTAACCTACCTAACCTAACCTAACTTTTTCGGCTACCTAACCTAACCTAACCTATAAAGATAGGTTAGGTTAGGTTAGGTAGGGTTGGTTAGGTTTGGTCGTATATCTACGTTAATTTTAACTCCAGAAAAAAAATTGACCTCATACATAATGAAATGGGTAGGTTTATCATTTCATAAGAAAAAAATTAGAGAAAATATATTAATTCAGGAAAACTTGGCTTATTGGGCAAATTGGGCCTTGCATAGTAGGCTGAGAAGTGCGTTCTGGCTACTAGGTACGACATATATATATATATATATATATATATATATATATATATATATATATATATATATATATATATATATATATATATATATATATATATGTATATATATATATATATATATATATATATATATATATATATATATATAGAAGGGGGACCCATAGCCCTCGGGAGGAAACCACGCATAACGCAATTAGAGGGAATGGATTTAGATCTCCTCCAATACAGTTTCTGTGTGCTTTTCTCCTACCACCCCCTTCCTTGATATATTTTTTGATTTTATATTTTGCATTGTTGCTTAGCAGAATGGTTGTTGATATCGTTTCAATAATGGGAATTGTTGATCATAAGGTGTAAATTTTTTACAGGTGTTTGTTGCTTTATTATGCATTGATGGTTCATGCAGGGTTGATACAAAAATAATAATGCAAAAAGGTGCTTAAAAGTTATGGATCTCTTGAAACACACAACAATGGGAAACATTGATGAATGTCACGGACGGGTTCGATCATTGTTGCAAGTCAAACACTTCTTCGAATTCCTCTGAAGTTGGACTAGTGCCCAAGACGCAACAGGCATTTCCCCTCTGAATCGCAACACTGAGGCGCTGAACAAGAAACTTTTTGCTCTCTGGTCTTTTGTAGCGCTGATCAATTTGTCCCCCCAATTCCTTCAGGAACTTCAATGCACATTTTCCCCACGAACCGAGGGTCTCCGAGCCGATCGGAACAAAGCTGTAGCAGTGTGCTAGACCTCTGTATTTAATAATTTTCTGCGATTCCCTGAAAGAAGCACCACCACCGCTTTCACCACCGCTTTTATATTTATATATATATATATATCTATATATATATATATATATATATATATATATATATATATATATATATATATATATATATATAACAACACGCCTGAATGGTCCCCCGGACTATATACAACTGAAAACTCACACCCCAGAAGTGACTCGAAACCATACTCCCACAACTGGTATGTACAGGGACGCCTTAATCCGCTTGACCATCACGACCGGACATAAGGAAGTGATAGCCGAGGCTATATGAACCACTTCCCCCGCGGCACTCGGATGGTAATCTTGGGCATAGCATTTTATCAAATCAACTCATTCTTTGGGGCACACGTGAGGAACACAAAATAGAAGGGAGTTCCTCAGTTTGTGTTCCTCACGTGTTGCCCCAAAGAATGAGGTGATTTGATAAAAATGCTATGCCCAAGATTACCATCCGAGTGCCGGCGGGGAAGTGGTTCATATAGCCTCGGCTATTACTTTCCTTATGTCCGGTCGTGATGGTCCAGCGGATTAAGGCGTCCCTGTACATACCAGTTGTGGGAGTATGGGTTCGAGTCACTTCTGGGTGTGAGTTTTCAGTTATATATATATATATATATAGTTTATATTATATATATATATATATATATATTTATATATAGTATATATATATCATAATTATATATCTATATATATAAATTCGTGTTAGAATTATTAATCTTACTTTTTCGGTCATTGGTCAATATTATATAAATATATATATATATATATATATATATATAATAATTATATATATAATATATATATATATATGTGTGTGTGGTGTGTGTGTGTGTGTGGTATATTACGAAAATAAACACGTGATTAAGAATGTGACAATGTCAGACCACGGAGGAAAAATGAAACAGGAATTTCCTTAAGTACTTTTCGTATATTAAATACATCTTCAGAAGGTCTATATATATATATATATATTAGTATATTTTGGTAGCAGTCTTTCCTGTAGACATATATTATTAAATATGACCGAAAAAGTAAGATTAATAATTCTAACACGAATTTTCTCAATCTTTCGTACATTATGCTTCACTGTTGGAGGTAAATCAAAAATCACTTCTCCAAATTCATTTTTATTTCTAGTCTGACGCGACACGGCGCGTTTTTCGTAAAACTTATTACATTTTCAAAGACTTCACAAATACACAACTGATTAGAACTTGCGTTTCCCTGATTTTTATATCTACATTTGAGTGAGGTGGGAGGGTGATGTGGCATTACATTTGAGTGAGGTGGGAAGGATGATGTGGCATTAACACAAGACAGAACACTAGAGGATATTAATAGGGTATTAAAAGTATCAACACAAGACAGAACAGAAACAATGGGTATTGAATAGAAGTGTTTGTAGAAAGCCTATTGGTCCATATTTCTTGATGCTTCTATATTGGGAGCGGAGTCTTGATATATATATATATATATATATATATATATATATATATATATATATATATATATATGTCGTACCTAGTAGCCAGAACGCACTTCTCAGCCTACTATGCAAGGCCCGATTTGCCTAATAAACCAAGTTTTCATGAATTAATTGTTTTTCGACAACCTAACCTACCTAACCTAACCTAACGTAACTTTTTCGGCTACCTAACCAAACCTAACCTATAGAGATAGGTTAGGTTAGGTTAGGTAGGGTTGGTTAGGTTCGATCGTATATCTACGTTAATTTTAACTCCAATAAAAAAAATTGACCTCATACATAATGAAATGGACAGCTTTATCATTTCACAAGAATAAAAATAGAAAAAATATATTAATTCAGGAAAACTTGGCTTATTAGGCAAATCGGGCCTTGCATAGTAGGCCAAAAAGTGAGTTCTGGCTA